ATTCAAATGGCTTAGTGAAATGTGTCAACTTTAAGTCCCATATTAAGTGGGACCCGTACGTTGATTATAAAGGGACCAAATATATTCACGTTCTACTCCGTGAAATGATCAACGTGATATATTAATTTATTGAAAATCATTTAGAATTGAATGAAATATTTAATGTCAAAATAACCCACTTGGAACTATAAACTAGTCAAGAATTTGATTTATTAAAAATTCTCAAACACTTATCCCACATAAGAAAGTTAGGAAACTTTGGTGTGGTTCATATAGTATAAGGTTGGGAATTGTGTTTAAGTCTCAATGGGTACCAATAGTCTTTGGAAGGAAAGAGACATATATCCTATTGGATTCGATCCAAACCCCACGCGCTCGCCGCAGTCCGGCCGGCTAGGCATGTGCCCGTGCCCGATCTGATTCATGGGTAGGTACGTCCTTATACTATATTATCTTTTTGGACAAAATTTATTTAATTTTATATCACATTGTAATTAATCATATTCTTAGGTACTTAATGATATTATTTTTTATTGGCTTATTTTCGGGTGTCTGGATGGTCTGTTAATTGACTAAACAGTCAACTATTAATCGTCTAAATAGTCGACTGTTAACCGAACCTTGCTGTCTGTTTGGGTTTTGGGGGGCTATATGAATAGTGAAGACTGAAATAACTTGAAGGTCATTCGAATGGCGACGAACAAGTCTATAAATAGCCTGCCCCGCTGCCGAAAAGTTACATCATTTTCATTGCAATCATTCTCTGATTTGAATCTCACTTCCCTCTCATTATGATATTATTTTCAAAGTGAAAAACACTTCGTTAAGTTCTTTGGAACTCCTGCAGATTGTTGTGTTGCTTTCGTAGGAGTCGAAATTCGTTCTATCCTGAGAAACGATTGTTGAATACATTTAGCACATGTGAAGGCAGCAAATTCATTTTAAGGAAACATCTTGAGCTCGGTGGGCTAGAATTAATATTGTAATCATGTTGATCAAACTAATTACGCTGTTCAATTATTTCAAGGTAATTCTATCGTAATATTTGGAGTAAACTTTTATATTTCAGAATAACATTACTCACCAACAAGAAAGTGGTCGGGAATGATAGAGCTCGTCCTGACCATATTTTTTTGGGTTGGTAAAAGTCTAAACTAAGTTGGGAAAAATATAGGTTGGCCACAGTCCTTGGTCGAGGAAAGTATACAATTGCTGACCAAGAAATTAATTTAAGTCGGTAAATGTGATTTTATGCTAGTGAATTTGAACTTGTGCAATCCACGTTTCCTAACTATGGTTTGAATCGGTAAATATGATTTTATTCAATTTTATTTTAACATGTGCATTAATCAAAATTTCAAAACAAATTGAAAACCCAACTTAATAAATAAAAATAATGCACGAACAAAAATCAAAATCAAGATATATCAGAAATCACAACGCAATAGTTACAATTCAAAAGGTTCTAGCAAAGTAGGCAAAATAATTCGCTGTATCGTTCCAAGTGAGTTCTAGTTTCAAAATATGAGTAACTACATACACAGAAGTAATCCAAAACAATAGCGCATCTAGTGAAGTTCCAAAATATAGAAGACAGTGAAGTCCAAAATAATAGCATAGGCAATAATAGAGTATCTACCATCGGGATATAAAACATCCAAGTGCAATATGAAGATGAATTTTAATCTAATGGTCATCAAGTGACTCGTGATCAGGTAACGATGACAGATGAATAGTGGCTAATTTTTGGTTGCTGGAGAAAACGTTAGTAGTTGTTCTCTTCGTATTTCAATTTTTAGTTTTTAGTTTTTAATTCATTTTGGATTTTGTATTTTGAGTGTCCATTTTGAGATTGTCGAAAACGTGTTTTTTTTGTCATTTTGAAAAATTGTTTTCAAAAATAAAAAAAAATAAAGTTTTGGCTTGATTTTAACTGAAAACAGCTAAAACGACTTTTTGGCGTTTTCCGTTTTCTTTGTAAATTTTAAACTCGTTTTTGGAAATTCGTTTCTGAAAACAGGTAAGTAAACGTATTTTCAGTATTCTAGAAAACTGAAAACTAAAAATTGTCTTAAAACAACAAAGAGAATAGACACTAAGTTTCTTGTAGTGCGAGTTTTAAGAAATGACAGCCAAATAGAGGCTTAGTTAAGGAGAAATAAAAATAAACAGCAAAACAGTTAATTAAACTCGTACTTTCTATTTGCATCATTTAAGCTTTCGCAGCGTAATAAAATTATTTATTGATGTTACTACATGAGATTTTGCTAAATGGATGATGGCGAAACTTGAATTCGAAGTATTTATATTTTAGAGAGGAATTGTTTATTTATATTTTATCTCTCACATACCCTCAACTTATAGATCAGATTCAGTTTTCCATTACAATAGACAGCATAATAATAAATAGGAGGAGGTGGAACTCGAATTCAAGACTGTATCGATTCTAATACAGTGATCAACCACCACTTCATTAGTTCAGTCCTTGTGCACACTGAGATGCAAAAAGTGTTCAAAGAATAAACGTCCATTTCACCTATTTAATTTAGTTTCATGAATTTACAAGTTTGAGATGCATGTATCAGTAATTTAATATGTACCTAGTGAAGTGAGGTGCATGTAGTAGAATTAAATTGACGGGATGAACATATGTGATATGAAGTACTATAAATATCTATGTAATCTTGTGTCGAAGACAATTCTACAATTGGATTAGAGAATCATTTCCTCCTCATTGAGTTTATTCCTCCTCTTTTAAGTCCATTTCTATTTC